TGCATATCATAACGCGGGAAAATAAGGAAAGATATAAGAGCAAAGGAGATCATGTAATGCAATAATTGGAGGTAAGGATAGGAACGGACATGCAAGTACAAAATGAATCATTTGACTGTGCTATTGGTTTAAACAGGAACATTAACACTGACATGTATTAACAACATACATTAAGACACAATAATATTCCTTATTACAATTATATTTATGAATAAAATATAAAATATATATCCTTTCGCGACAAAAGGAATTGCTTCTCTCTGGAATTTTAATCCAAAACAAAGCTTCTTTGGTACTTCTCGCTTTTCAGCGACAGATGGCTCTTCTTCTGATATTTACAATCCCATTGAGATGAAACTAACAAAAGAGAGCTAATAAGAGTAAAAATGCGAAAGTCAGTCCATAGATATTTATAACTTCTAAGTAACATTTTGGATTTTTAATTTATTATTAAGTTTTTTACAATTTATTAAATATAATTATGTTTAGATGGAAGCATTGCGACGAGAGAATAAAGCGTCAACAGAAGAGCTAAAGGGACTTACTGATCAGCTTGGCGAAGGAGGAAGAAGTTTACATGAATTACAAAAACAGAAAAGAAAATTAGAAATGGAAAAGAATGAACTTCAGGTCACTCATCAAAAAATATAATTTAAAATAACAATTTTGCATTAATTTTTTAAAATGATTCCTTTATTAAACCTTGAATATTAAAAAAAATTTCAAGCAACAATCAAATTATCAATAAAAAATATTCAGCAAGCATTGGATGATGCTGAAAATGCGTTGGAAATCGAGGAGAATAAAGCTTTGCGAGCACAAATTGAAATTTCACAAATTCGATCAGAAATTGAAAAACGTGTAACTGAGAAAGAGGAGGAATTCCAAAATACACGAAACAATCATCAACGAGCTTTAGAAAGCATGCAGGTTTCTCAGTTCTTATTCTCATTTTTTTTGAAAGTAGGTTTTTTAAAATGTTTCAGAAAAATTAAATACTTCGGCTTACCTCAGTAATTGATATCCGCTTATAGATTTCATCCAACTTATATTTATTGAGAATTTTTTGTAGTCATTCTTGTTTTTTTGTCTTTTTTTGAAAATTTTCAAAATTAGGATGACAAATTTTAAGATGGTATGTTATAATTTAATTTTTTGCTATACTTAATGCAATTAATATTTAGGCTTCCCTGGAAGCAGAAGCACGAGGCAGAGCTGATTTGCTTCGTATAAAAAAGAAATTAGAATCAGATATCAGTGTAAATTTTGCGTTTCTTTATTTAAAATCAATTTTTTGATTATAGTCAGCAACTGAACAAAATATATGCATTGAGATTGTAAAATGGATTTCATTTTTTTAAATCTAAAAATGAATCATAGATCAGGAATTGAGCTTTGAAATAGCAGCGGTTTTTTAGGAACTGGAAGTAGCATTGGATCATGCTAATCGTGCAAATGTGGATGCTCAGAAAACGATTAAACGTTACCAGGAAAATGTACGTGAATTACAGGTGATAAAATTTTATTTTATTCATAACTGAAAATTACAAAAAAAAAAAGTTTTCTTCTCATCCTTCCATTGCGTAATGCATTTATGTGTTTATATTTTTTCCATATCTCTTTCACTGATGTTCAGAGAAAGTTCTTGTGATCCTAATCCTAATATCTTTGCTGTTCCACCAGGCTTTGAAAAGATCATAAAAAGGCTCGTTTTTTCTGCCAGAAATAGATTTATGCGGAAGCTGAAAGGTGTCAAATTTTCGAAGATTTAAGAAAATATGTAAAACATGAATGAATAGTCATGAGCTGTTTAGGTCTAAATGAATAAATTAATGCAACGAGTATGAATTTTCAATTTTTCTTCAAATAAAATTACAAGAAAAGTGATTTATGAATTTGAACTTTTATAGAGCAATGCAGTTGATCTAAAGTTTTAAAATGTAGTAATACATTAGTAATTTTGCAAATTTTGATATAGACTCAAATCGAAGATGAACAACGTCAACGCGATGAGCTACGAGAACAAATGAACGTTATGGAAAGACGTGTGCAGACATTACAATCAGAAAAAGAGGAAGTGAGCGGAATGCTTGACCAGGTTCACGTGGAATAAATTCTTGATGTTGAACTTGAAATAACTTACATATTTTTTAAAGTTCATCTTTTGCTTGCGTACTTTTTTCCACTTCATTAATCGAATTAAGATAACGCTCTCAAACATGCTTGGATGTCATTGAAATGTTCAGGTTGATATATAAATTCCAAGTACTGCTGCATATATTAAACAAATAATGCTTGATTGATTATTCGATTAGTTAAATTAATAGGGATGATTGCTAATACCGTCTTATTGAAATAATATTATGCAATCGATTATCAGTTCTGAATGATCCCCGATCAGTTTTCTGAAACCTTACTTCCTTTGTCAAATCAATCGATAAAGCATAAAGTTTAAAAGCTATAATTCAGGCATATTCCTAAAATTTGCAAATTCTTTTATATCATGCAGTTGCCTCGAATAAATTTCTTCCATAAAATGTTTTTTATATGTTTATTTTGCAAAATAATTTCAAAATATGGTCATTTGGAATTTTATGAATTTAGGCAGAACGAATTCGTCGCCAACAAGAACAGGAAGCTGCTGATGCAAAGGAAACAGCTAATTCTTTAACTCAAAGTAATTATTCGCTGTCAATTACGAAACAAAAATTGGAATCCAAAATTCAGGTTTTAAAACTTTATGAAAAGTTTTTCAAATTTAATAAAAATTCATTTTGGCAAATTATATTTATGTCACAATTGTATACCGTTGATGTAAAGTTCTAATTTCTGAATGGCATTAATTAAATTTACATTTAACATGCCAATTCGAAATGTTTCAATTTTTTTCTTCCTAAAAGAACAAGTGATTTTGTTTGACGTAAATTTCTATTATCAATTTTTTTGCAAAAACTGTAATGGATGATTGGAGATAATAGCAATGAAATAAATTCTGAGATGAATTTATTTCATTCACAAATTAATAAATAAATTTCTTAGTATTTATAATTCTAATATATTAAGATTGCATTTAAACAATTTTATTCTCTCAAAAAATTTCACTTTAATCCGATTTCACTTTTACCTTCAAATAAATCTGATTAGTATATTTATAATTTTTGCTGATATTTTAAACTTTCGAACACACTTGCATATTTAACCATGAATATTGTTACTGCTTTTTTCTTTGTAATTCGTTAAAATTATTCAAAGAGATTCATTAAAATGTTATTTTACTTTATTGCTTAATATTCGGTAGATATTGCTTTTCAGCAGCTCCATAGTGAACTCACTGGAACGTTTAATGAATTGAAAAATACTGATGAACGGTGTAAGAAAGCGGTAATGGACGCAGCGAGATTGGCGGAAGAGTTGCAAACAGAACAGGAACATTCACAGAGTCTTGATCGACAACGGAAAGGGCTGGAATCGCGGATGAAGGTTTTTATTGCATTCTTTTCATTTTCATTTTTCAGCATCCTCTCTTTCATTCAGACAACTACAGAAATTTCTTCTCGATCAAAATTAGACAGTTATTTGGAAAATAGTATGGGAAAAAGATAAGAACTGTATAACCAATCCAATTATAGTACAAAATTTAATTTAACATTTGATGAAGAATTTCTTTCAGGAAATGCAGGCTCGTTTAGATGAGACGGAAGCAACAGCAATAAAAAGTGGAAAACGTATGCTAACTAAGGTGGACCAACGTGTACATGATCTTGAGGTCGAATTAGTGGATGAATGCCGACGTCATGCAGAAACTCTCAAGAATTGTCGTAACAGAGAACGGAAAGTGCGCGAACTTCAATTTCAAGTGGACGAAGATAAGAAAAGTAATGAAAGGATGCGTGATTTCATCGAAAAAATGCAAACAAAAATAAAAACTTACAAACGGCAGTTGGAAGAAGCAGTCAGTACTGACTTTTCATATTTTAAATTTATTTTCTATTTATTTACATATATGATAATTGTTTTATTTTGAATAATTTCATCTAGTTATAAAAATTGAGAATGATTTCTTCCGCTTCGAACATTTTAATTTAAACTATTCTGCAAAAAAACCCAAATTGACCTATAAAGCAATCTATTTCACATCGAAATTTCTTTCCAATAACTTTTTTCTTTACTTCTCAACTTATTAATTTAATTTAGGAACAGTTAGCCGTTCAGAACCTTAGCAAATATCGCCAAATGCAGCATATGCTTGAGGACGCTGAAGAACGCGCTGATATAGCAGAAAATTCATTGGTCAAAATGCGGGCCAAGAATCGTTCTAAACTTTTATCTGTCGGTGGACGCATCGCACACTCTGTACCATTTTATTTTGTTTGTTAAAAATTTGAAAATCTGTTTTGATATTTCAATGAACCATCAAATTTTTAAAAAGAAATTTTATAGTTTTTAATGTTTCTAATTTTTAAAATTTAATTATTTAGATGTCAAATGTTGCTCTCACGGTACAGACCCCGAATACTTCAGAAGAACTCTAAACAAAACAATTTCCTATTGAAAAATTAATAAGACTCATCAGTATTCATTTCTCGTTTGCTTCAACTTATGTTCAAAAATTTTCGTTTATAAAGTTTGAGAAATAAATAACAAAAGTGCAATAAAATTTTGATTTTCCCCAAAACTAAACCATTATAATACATGCCAATAATCTTTTTTGTATAATTCACTAACATAAATCCTCAAAAAATCCTCCATAAAAATTCCAATTTGTGTCGCAAAAATTTTTGTCGTGTGGAGAGAGCTGATAATTATTGTATCGTGACAATTAGAATCGAAGTGTTTATTAGTTTGCTGTAAAGTAAGCAAATGTAATACCAATTTGAGACCGTATCACCTACCGCTACCTCTCGGGAGGAACACACCTCGATGTCATCCGCTCCTACTGATCAACATGTATATGAGACATACAAAATAGACGGATATCCCTCATTGGGGTGATCAATAAATGATGGATATACAATCGATAATATCACGGTTTGACAATATCATAGCATGAAGCCAAAATTTTTTATTACGTGTGAAAGAAAGAGAGAGAGAAGATCATAAAGAACGAGGGAAATGTCGGCAGACAGCCTGACACTATAGGACAAGAGAGTGTTATGTAGCAGAAATTAAGTACGACTATAAATTAATTATACAGCTAAATTTCCTCTTATCTGAATGTCAATTATACAAATCTCTATTTATGAACGAAAGTTTAC